AAAAAAAACCATGTATAGGTTCTGTAACGGATGCAGTGCCTCGAGGTACACATTTTACGTTTGATCTACGCTACATTTGCGCGAGAAAGGTGCGAACAAGTGCTTTATCTCAACAGGTGAAGTGGCAGTAGAGCAGACATTGTCCCATTGTATTATGCTCTCGTGCAAGTTCTACTTCTGTGTTTTTTTTTGCGGAGTTCTTCATTATAATGCACTCTCACCACTGGTATCTCATGATTTAGTTATATGAAAACAACGATAAAATCTCGCACGCGAACTAGAAGCTTCGATAAAATAGCGTGCATACCTATTGTCTATGCGTGCTTTTGTCCATCTTCTGCTTTTATGTATTTTTGTCTTTTGCTTCACGTTGTTTGACCAATCAAGCACATGCTGCCTTAAAGCCAGAATTCACATCTAGCCTAAGGTGAAAAATGTGCCTTGGTTTGTGTTTGCTACATGTGCTGTTGAATCACTCCTCTCTCGGTGTATTTCTTGCCTCGAGCTAGATGTCACGTCACAGACTACTGTCCTGGGAAAAACGTAAAAAACTCTTCATATAAATGGATTGCGTGGAGAAGTAGTCGGACGAGCAGCAGGACATAGGCGCGAGTGTGGCGTTGTTTTGTAACTTATAGATCATGTGTGTAATCAAACGGCAACTCTCAGATTATACAAGCTACACTGATGTCTAACGAGCCGCTTAAGTCGTTTGAAGAAACGTTAGCGTACAATAACACGATAGATGAGGCTTTTCGCGGAAAGGTGAGCTTCACTGATTTGCAAAGTAGCAGGTGAAGCAGAAGCCAATTTAAATAATGTTTTGAATTCTTTCTAGGTTAATATAACACTGAAAGAAGACGCAGTTGAGTCGCGTACTAAAGAGATGCGAAAAGTGTTTCAAAAAACATGGAAGCAACACGCCGCTCTACAAGTAAGTTTTCATGGGAACATTCGGAGCGTTGAGAAGTTTGAATGGAAATGCCTTTTAGCGCGAGTCAAGTAAGATTTTTTCTCTGTATAGCGGTTATTGGTACTAGGATAGGGCTCGGTCTCGACAAGCTTGCATCTGAGGGAATAACGGGATTGATTCACAGGTTCACTGAGGAGGAAAAGGGACATAAGGTGCAGTTTGTCCTATTTTTCTATAACAATCGATAAAAAACTCAATTAGGCGAATGTTGAAGAAGCTTATTGAGATGAAGAAAAAGATGTACAATCTAGATATTCTTGACTTACAAAGTTCCGAGTAAGTAAACA